GGAGTACTCAACGGAATTTATTTCAGAACCTTTCATTTCACAAGCGTTAAGTAAAGGTGAAGAAAGTAAGCGTCCTCTAAATATAACATCGTCATCAATGAGATCGGCATTGACAACGTGTACATTTGTTTCTCTATTATATTCACCAACGGTTTCATTCACATCAGAAACCACTTTCAGTTCTCAAGTTTCACTAACAACTGGTACAACAGAATCCGTATTGGAGTCTTCGACTGAATTTACCTCTAGATCAATAAGTTTAATGACGTCAACTCAAGTTGAAGAAACTGAGACTTCTGTTAATGAAACATTGTCAGCGATATTTTCGACGAAGACTATATCACCTATTGATACTTCATTATATTCGCCAATATTTTCATATACATATGGAACATCGTTTGGGTCCTTAGTTGCAAATATAACGGGGTTACCAGAAACATCAATGGAGTACTCAACGGAATTTATTTCAGAACCTTTTATTTCAACCGCGTTAACTGAAGGTGAAGAAACTGAACTTCCTCTAAATATCACATCGTCATCAATGATTTTGGCAGTGAGACCATCTACATTTGTTTCTCAATTATATTCACCAATGTCTTCACTTACATCGGAAACCACTTTCGGTTCTCTGGTTTCATTATCAACTGTTACAACAGAACCCATATCAAAGTCTTCGACTGAATCTATTTCTAAATCAATAAGTTTAATGACGTCAACTCAAGTTGAAGAAACTGAGACTTCTGTTAATAAAACATTGTCAGCGATATTTTCGACAAAGACTATATTATCTACGGATACATTGATATATTCGCCAATAATTTCGTATATATTAAAAACCTCTTTTGGATCTTCAGTTTCAAATATAACGGGGTTACCAGAAACATCAATTAAGTCGTCAACGGAATTTTCTGAAGCCCTTATTACAAGAGCGTTAACTGAAGTTGAAGAAACTAAACGACCTCTAAATATTACAACGTCATCAATGATTTCGGCAGTGACAACATCTACATTTGTTTCTCAATTTTATTCACCAATGTCTTCATTTACATCGCAAACCACTTTCGGTTCTCAGGAGTTGCTAACAACTCTTACAACAGAATCCATATTGGAGTTGTCGACTGAATTTATTTCTAAATCAACAAGTTTAATGACGACAACTCAAGTTGAAGAAACTGAGACTTCTGTTAATAAAACATTGTCATTAATAATTTCGACGAAGACAATATCACCATCTGATTCTTCGTTAATTTCGCCAATATTTTCGTATACATTAGAAACCTCTTTTGGGTCTTCAGGTGCAAATATAACGAGGTTACCAGAAACATCAATTAAGTCGTCAACGGTATTTTCTGAAGTCCTTATTACAACAGCGTTAACTGAAGTTGAAGAAACTAAACGACCTCTAAATATTACAACGTCATCAATGATTTCGGCAGTGACAACATCTACATTTGTTTCTCAATTTTATTCACCAATGTCTTCATTTACATCGCAAACCACTTTCGGTTCTCAGGAGTTGCTAACAACTCTTACAACAGAATCCATATTGGAGTTGTTGACTGAATTTATTTCTAAATCAACAAGTTTAATGACGTCAATTCAAGTTGAAGAAACTGAGACTTCTGTTAATAAAACATTGTCATTAATAATTTCGACGAAGACAAAATCACCATCTGATAGTTCGTTAATTTCGTCAATATTTTCGTATACATTAGAAACCTCTTTTGGGTCTTCGGGTGCAAATATAACAGCGTTACCAGAAACATCAATTAAGTCTTCAACGGAATTTTCTGAAGTCTTTATTACAACAGCGTTAACTGAAGTTGAAGAAACTAAACGTACTCTAAATATTACAATGTCATCAATGATTTCGGCAATGACAACATCTACATTTGTTTCTCAATTATATTCACCAATGTCTTCACTTACATCGAAAACCACTTTCGGTTCTCAAGTTTCACTAAAAACTAGTACAACAGAACCCATATCAAAGTCTTCGACTGAATCTACCTCTAAATCAATAAGTTTAATGACGTCAACTCAAGTTGAAGAAACTGAAACTTCTGTTAATAAAACATTGCCAGCGATAATTTCGACAAAGACAATATCACCAACTGATTCTTCGTTAATTTCGCCAATATTTTCGTATACATTAGTAACCTCTTTTGGGTCTTCAGGTGCAAATATAACGGGGTTACCAGAAACATCAATTAAGTCTTCAACGGAATTTTCTGAAGTCCTTATTACAACAGCGTTAACTGAAGTTGAAGAAACTAAACGACCTCTAAATATTACAACGTCATCAATGATTTCGGCAGTGACAACATCTACATTTGTTTCTCAATTTTATTCACCAATGTCTTCATTTACATCGCAAACCACTTTCGGTTCTCAGGAGTTGCTAACAACTCTTACAACAGAATCCATATTGGAGTTGTCGACTGAATTTATTTCTAAATCAACAACTTTAATGACGACAACTCAAGTTGAAGAAACTGAGACTTCTGTTAATAAAACATTGTCAGCGATAATTTCGACGAAGACTATATCACCATCTGATACTTCCTCAATTTCGTCAATATTTTCGTATACATTAGAAACCTCTTTTGGGTCTTCAGTTGCAAATATAACGGGTTTACCAGAAACATCAATTAAGTCTTCAACGGAATTTTCTGAAGTCCTTATTACAACAGCGTTAACTGAAGTTGAAGAAACTAAACGACCTCTAAATATTACAACGTCATCAATGATTTCGGCAATGACAACATCTATATTTGTTTCTCAATTTTATTCACCAATGTCTTCATTTACATCAGCAACCACTTTCGGTTCTCAGGAGTTGCTAACAACTCTTACAACAGAATCCATATTGGAGTTGTCGACTGAATTTATTTCTAAATCAGCAAGTTTAACGACGACAACTCAAGTTGAAGAAACTGAGACTTCTGTTAATAAAACATTGTCAGCGATATTTTCGACGAAGACTATATTACCTACGGATACATTGTTATATTCGTCAATATTTTCGTATACATTAGAAACCTCTTTTGGGTCTTCAGTTGCAAATGTAACAGCGTTATTAGAAACATCAATTAAGTCGGCAACGGAATTTTCTGAAGTCCTTATTACAACAGCATTAACTGAAGTTGAAGCAACTAAACGACCTCTAAATATTACATCGTCATCAATGAGATCGGCAGTGACTACATCTACATTTGTTTCTCAATTATATTTACCAATGTCTTTACTTACATCGGAAATTACTTTTGGTTCTCATGTTTCACTGACAACTGGTACAACAGAATTCGTATTGGAGTCTTCGACTGAATTTACCTCTATATCAATAAGTTTAATGACGTCAACTCAAGGTGAAGAAACTGGGACTTCTGTTAATAAAACATTGTCATCAATAATTTCGACAAAGACAATATCACCATCTGATACTTCGTTATTTTCGTCAATATTTGCGTATACATCAGAAACCTCTTTTGGGTCTTCAGGTGCAAATATAACGGGGTTGCCAGAAACATCAATTAAGTCGTCAACGGAATTTTCTGAAGCCCTTATTACAACAGCGTTAACTGAAGTTGAAGAAACTAAACGACCTCTAAATATTACAACTTCATCAATGATTTCGGCAATGACAACATCTACATTTGTTTCTCAATTTTATTCACCAATGTCTTCATTTACATCGCAAACCACTTTCGGTTCTCAGGAGTTGCTAACAACTCTTACAACAGAATCCATATTGGAGTTGTCGACTGAATTTATTTCTAAATCAACAAGTTTAATAACGACAACTCAAGTTGAAGAAACTGAGACTTCTGTTAATAAAACATTGTCATTAATAATTTCGACGAAGACAATATCACCATCTGATTCTTCGTTAATTTCGCCAATATTTTCGTATACATTAGAAACCTCTTTTGGGTCTTCAGGTGCAAATATAACGGGGTTACCAGAAACATCAATTAAGTCGTCAACGGAATTTTCTGAAGCCCTTATTACAACAGCGTTAACTGAAGTTGAAGAAACTAAACGTACTCTAAATATTACAATGTCATCAGTGAGATCGGCAGTGACTACATCTACATTTGTTTCTCAATTATATTCACCAATGTCTTCACGTACATCGCAAACCACTTTCGGTTCTCAGGAGTTGCTAACAACTCTTACAACAGAATCCATATTGGAGTTGTCGACTGAATTTATTTCTAAATCAACAAGTTTAATGACGACAACTCAAGTTGAAGAAACTGAGACTTCTGTTAATAAAACATTGTCAGCGATAATTTCGACGCAGACAATATCACCATCTGATACTTCGTTAATTTCGCCAATATTTTCGTATACATTAGTAACCTCTTTTGGGTCTTCAGGTGCATATATAACGGGGTTACCAGAAACATCAATTAAGTCTTCAACGGAATTTTCTGAAGTCCTTATTACAACAGCGTTAACTGAAGTTGAAGAAACTAAACGACCTCTGAATATTACATCGTCATCAATGAGATCGGCAGTGACATCTACATTTGTTTCTCAATTATATTCACCAATGTCTTTATTTACATCGCAAACCACTTTCGGTTCTCAGGAGTTGCTAACAACTCTTACAACAGAATCCATATTGGAGTTGTCGACTGAATTTATTTCTAAATCAACAAGTTTAATAACGACAACTCAAGTTGAAGAAACTGAGACTTCTGTTAATAAAACATTGTCATTAATAATTTCGACGAAGACAATATCACCATCTGATTCTTCGTTAATTTCGCCAATATTTTCGTATACATTAGAAACCTCTTTTGGGTCTTCAGGTGCAAATATAACGAGGTTACCAGAAACATCAATTAAGTCGTCAACGGTATTTTCTGAAGTCCTTATTACAACAGCGTTAACTGAAGTTGAAGAAACTAAACGACCTCTAAATATTACAACGTCATCAATGATTTCGGCAGTGACAACATCTACATTTGTTTCTCAATTTTATTCACCAATGTCTTCATTTACATCGCAAACCACTTTCGGTTCTCAGGAGTTGCTAACAACTCTTACAACAGAATCCATATTGGAGTTGTCGACTGAATTTATTTCTAAATCAACAAGTTTAACGACGACAACGCAAGTTGAAGAAACTGAGACTTCTGTTAATAAAACATTGTCATTAATAATTTCGACAAAGACAATATCACCATCTGATTCTTCGTTAATTTCGCCAATATTTTTGTATACATTAGAAACCTCTTTTGGGTCTTCAGGTGCAAATATAACGGGGTTACCAGAAACATCAATTAAGTCGTCAACGGAATTTTCTGAAGTCCTCATTACAACAGCGTTAACTGAAGTTGAAGAAACTAAACGATCTCTAAATATTACAACGTCATCAATGATTTCGACAGTGACAACATCTGCATTTGTTTCTCAATTATATTCACCAATGTCTTCATTTACATCGCAAACCACTTTCGGTTCTCAGGAGTTGCTAACAACTCTTACAACAGAATCCATATTGGAGTTGTTGACTGAATTTATTTCTAAATCAACAAGTTTAATGACGTCAACTCAAGTTGAAGAAACTGAGACTTCTGTTAATAAAACATTGTCAGCGATAATTTCGACGAAGACAATATCACCTTCTGATACATCGTTATATTCGCCAATAATTTTGTATACATCAGAAACCTCTTTTGGGTCTTCAGGTGCAAATATAACGAGGTTACCAGAAACATCAATCAAATCGTCAACGGAATTTTCTGAAGCCCTTATTACAACAGCGTTAACTGAAGTTGAAGAAACTAAACGACCTCTAAATATTACAACGTCATCAATGATTGCGGCAGTAACATCTACATTTGATTCTCAATTTTATTCACCAATGTCTTCATTTACATCGCAAACCACTTTCGGTTCTCAGGAGTTGCTAACAACTCTTACAACAGAATCCATATTGGAGTTGTCGACTGAATTTATTTCTAAATCAACAAGTTTAATGACGACAACTCAAGTTGAAGAAACTGAGACTTCTGTTAATAAAACATTGTCAGCGATAATTTCGACGAAGACAATATCACCATCTGATACTTCCTTAATTTCGTCAATATTTTCGTATACATTAGAAACCTCTTTTGGGTCTTCAGGTGCAAATATAACGGGGTTACCAGAAACATCAATTAAGTCGTCAACGGAATTTTCTGAAGTCCTTATTACAACAGCGTTAACTGAAGTTGAAGAAACTAAACGACCTCTAAATATTACAACGTCATCAATGAGATCGGCATTGACAACGTCTACATTTGTTTCTCTATTATATTCACCAATGTCTTCATTTACATCAGAAACCACTTTCGGTTCTCAGGTTTCATTGACAACGGTCTCAACAAAATCCTTGTTGGAGTTGTCGACTGAATTTATTTCTAAATCAACAAGTTTAATAACGACAACTCAAGTTGAAGAAACTGAGACTTCTGTTAATAAAACATTGTCATCATTAATTTCAACGCAGACAATATCACCATCTGATACTTCCTTAATTTCGTCAATAATTTCGTATACATCAGAAACCTCTTTTGGGTTTTCAGTTACAAATATAACGGGGTTACCGGAAACA